CAAGGGGGTCCCGGTTGTATCCCCCCACGGGTGCATAGTCTTTAGGAAAGGAGTGAAAAACAGGCTGTTTTTTGCTTAATTTTGCCCCCCCCCTCCAGCTGCCAGGAGCACTCTGAAAGCCTCCTAAAGGCTATCATGCCCTTTTTTAAAAAAAAAAACAAAAACAAAAATGGGCCCATTTTTGTGAAAAACGGGGCCTTTTTTGCTTGTTTTGCACCCCCCCCCCAGAGCACTTTATAAGCCTCCTAAAAGCTATTCATGTCATTTTTTTTTTAAAATGGGCCCATTTTTGTGAAAAACTGTGCGTTTTTGGGAGGTCTGCAGAGTGCAAAACCTCTTTTTTTTTTTTAAAAAAGGGCATGATAGCCTTTAGGAGGCTTTCAGAGTGCTCCTGGCAGCTGGAGGGGGGGGGCAAAATTAAGCAAAAAACAGCCTGTTTTTCACTCATTTCCTAAAGACTATGCACCAGTGGTGGGATACAACCGGTACACTCTGGTATGGGTGTACCAGTGCCTGCTGGGAGCACCAGGTACTGTTCCAGTACGGTGCTCGAGGGCCTACCCGCCCACCTGCAGTCCTTACCTGCATTTGAGCCAATTGGGACTTCCGTGGACGGATTGTACGGTTCCTGCGCAATGCTCCACCGAGCAGCTGGAACATCGCAGAATGTCAATGGTGATAAGTATGCATGTGTGCACTGCGTGCATGCTGTGCATGTGGTGAACGCCCGGCCTGTTGCACCGGGATCCGGAACCCACGACTGCCATGCACACCCATTTTGATGAAGGGGACAGGATTTCAGGAGGCAAAAAAATGCTGTATTCAGTGTATGAGACTCACTCAGATTTTCAGCCTCTTTTTTGAGGGAAAAAGGTACATCTTATACTCTGAAAAATACGGTGGGTAGGTAGGTAGGTAGGTATGTTTTTACAGGATTAATATTGAGACCGATCTCATGCAATTATTCTAGGTTGCTCACGACAATCCATGAAACCTGACTTTAAAAAAAAGAATACCCTAATAAAGGAAAATATTTGTAGCGGAGGGTTGACATCAGGGGTCCTTGGTGCTCTCTGAGCTTCCTTGTTTTCTTGCAGATGTTTCATTACCTACACTAGGTAATATCATCAGTGATAGTTTGGGTAATGAAACGTGTGCAAGAAAACAAGCAAGCTCAGAGAGACCCCCCCTCAAAGAATAGCCTAATCCTCAGGTGCCAGATGAAACAAACATTCTCCCAGCTCAACCCCACCCTAGCCAAGCTTAGAGGAAGAGCCAGGTCTTCATGGTCTTCAAGAACAATAAATCAGTGGAACAGCTTATCTTCAGAAGCTGTGGGTACTTCATCATTGGAGGTTTTTAAGAAAAGACTGGACAGTCTCCTATCTGAAATGCTATAGGGTCTCCTGCTTGAGCAGGGGTTTGGACTAGAACACCTCCAAGGTCCCTGTTCTATTCTGATTGATTGCTGAAAGGGTAGGGGTCCCTTGAATCTAGATGAAAAGCTATTCTAGAGGGCTGGAGTGAAGGAAGGACTCCAAAATCCCATCACGTAATAATATTTAAGGGAGGTGCCCATCTTGGAGTGCGCCCATCTTATCTAACCTATTAGGATGGGCAAATATTGTACCACGGTTTTAACAGGAGGACATGGGTTATCTGGCCATCTCCACTTGGAAAAATTGTATGTTTTAAATCCAGTCTCTATGTAGACAAACTGAAAAGCCCAGAGTTGCTTCATTTAGTGAGATGGGCAGAATATAAATTTAATAATAAAGAAACAAATAAGCATTTGTGAACTTTTAAAAAAAAGCTACTTTGAATCAATCCACTGCATATAATCTACATAATTCTAAGCATTTAAGAAAGAACATGCCTTAGTGGCATGCAGATTCTTTCCGGAAATCAGTCCAAATAGTAAGCTAAACTATTTTTTACTTATTGATGAAATGCATGTTAGCATAACTCCAAATTCATGTTACTAGTTCAATTGCCTTTTATATTAACTTTTATTTTACCATCCCAATTATGTTTTTTGACCAAATCGCCCACAAATGAATTGCTTAATGCAGAAAGAAGGGAATTTTTCAAAAAACACTTGGTAAACATACCTACATTATAAGCCATATGGTACAAGTTGCATTTAATTTTTAACAAAAAACATAATGTGACAAAAAAACTCCTCTACTAACCCCAATGTAGTCAATGTCCAAATCATGATATTTTTTAGCACCTATAATCCAGGAGATAATATAATATGCTGTAACATCTGGGTAATTATAAGGCCAATTCTCACCCCTCCCAATCCATCCTGGAAAAGCCCAGGGCAAGCCTGCAAGGGGAGCATAAAAAACACAAACACAAAGGAAAATTATACTTAACACATCAAATTCACAAAACTGAAAAAAAAATTTACTGTCCATAATGTAGGGTGAAAAGTACTAAATGGTCAGAGTTATAGAAAGAAATTAATTTGTTCACATGTTCTAGGACGCCTACAATAATCATAGTCTATACATTTTTACTTCCTTTTTCTACAAATACCAGTGTTATGGTTTGCATTATTAATAACAGGATAATTCACTGAAATGGAAAAATGAGTGGTAAAAATAACTGCTAGCAAAAGCTGGATAAAACAGTTAACAGAATTAAAAACAAGCTGAAGAGCCCTGATTACATTTGTTGAAAACTGCCATGTTGTGAAAATTGCTTCATAAAAAGGCATCAGTGGTGGGATTCAAATTGTTTTACTCTGGTTCTGTGGCTGTGGTGTTGCTTGGTGGGCGTGGCTTGGAGTGTGACAGGAGGATACTGTAAAATCTCCATTCCCACTCCATTCCAGGAAAAGGTTACTGCAAAATCCCCATTTCCTCCCAATCAGCTGTGACTCAGGAGGCAGAGAATAGATGGGGGTGGAGCCAGTCAGAAGTGGTATTTACTGGTTCTCTGAACTACTCAAAATTTCTGCCACCAATTCTCCAGAACTGGACAGAACCTGCTGACTACCACCTCTGAAAGGCATGCTATTGTTTTAAACATTACCCCTTCCTTTATCTTATTTATAAAAGCTCTGAAAACCATTGTTTCTCCCAGGTCCTGTAATAATTCGAATGGCGGGGTCCTTTAGAGAGGTTTTGTCCACATGGGAGCATTTTGATTCTTCTGTATCACTATCACCTTCTGTTAATTGTTTCCTTTTGTCTTTCTGTGTATGCGTGCATGTGTGTGTGTGTGTATACAGTATAGAATAATTTTTGAATTGGGAAGCCTTGAATTGGGACATGGTGGCTCAGTGGCTAAGATATTGACCTTGTTGATCAGAAGGTTGGCAGTTCAGCGGCTTGAATCCCTAGCACCACATATGGAATGAGCTCCAATTACTTGTCCCAGCTTCTGCCAACCTAGCAGTTCGAAAGCACATAAAAATGCAAGTAGAAAAATAGGGATCACTTTGGTGGGAAGGTAACAGCGCATTTAGTCATGCCGGCCACATGACCACAGAGACCTCTTCGGACAACACTGGCTCTTCAGCTTAGAAACGGAGATGAGCCAGAAACAATTAGCACAAATGTGCGGGGGAACTTTTATCTTTACCTTTATAAATTCTATAAACAAACAAACACAAAATGTCTATGAGGCCCCACCTACTTTGTGGTTCCTCATTTCTCTCATATGCCCCTTGGCCAATGAGTTGATTAGAAGTCAGGAAAATGAAGATGAGCTAGAAATAGAGAAAGAATAAGAGGTGTCAGGTGGTAAGTGACATAGCTGAAGTGTGGGATCAGACACATAGAAGTAATAAGCAAAAGACTGGTGATGAAAACAGTTGATTTAAGAAAAGAATCAGTAGATTGCATAGAGTAGCATCTATTTGCCAGCAGAACAGCTACTGCTAATAAGTCTTCAGAGATCTGCCTGAGAAACAGAGGATACTTCTGAGTAAATCAGAGGGAAATGCAAGAGGATAGGGAGAAGGATATGAACAGAGAGCATAACAACAGTAATAAAAGTTAATTCAGTTGATGCCGGATGTTTGTTTAATGTTTAATGTTTAATAAATTTATAGGCCGCCCAACCCCGGAGGACTCTGGGTGGATGTAATTCAATGATGTAGTTATTGAAAAAAAATTTTTTGTTAGATGATTACTTGTTGTAGGTCGACAGTTTTAACTTCTTGGATTCCAAGCTGAGTGTCTTTAAGCCTGGCATATCTATGTATGTATATTATTTCTTCATTTTTTTAATTTCAGGACTCCCATTTTTATATATTATAGTGTTTTCCAAAAAAAAAGCTTTTGTTTGTAGGGGTTATACAAGTGGTGTTTTTTTAATGGCCATTTGTTCAGTAAGTGTTCAAAATTAGAGACGAATGATCCTCGAAGTTACATTCATTGCACCACCCCACAGTCATTTGACAAAAAATGGGCACCTGGTAGTTCACCCACATTTAGGATCACAGAGTGCAACTTAACTCCCTCCCCACCTAATTCTCCTCCTCTGGCCTTTCAGCCACTTGCACTCCACTGCCCCTCCAACAAGCACCCCTCATAAGCAGCAGGAGGAAGAAAATGGTGAGGGGCAGCTGGGATGGGAGGTGCTGCAGAGGAGTTAGGCAATATATAAGCAAGATGGTGGGGACAGCAAGGAAATGAAAGGCACAGTGGCAGGACAACAGGGGTGGTGGAGTGCAGGGCAGCAGAGTGCAGGACAGCCCAAAGGGCAGAGATGGGGGATGGCGAGTGTGGGGAGTTGAAAGTGCTTTATGAAATTATTGGAGCTGCCGAGCACCCAAATTTTAGTCACATTACAGCAGGGTGGTGCAACTGCCATAACTTCAAGGACTTACAAGGACCATTTGTTCACCTCCTTTGTAATTTAAGTTTGATGAACTAATGGTTTTTAAACAAGGATTAGTATTCCAAATTAGTTGTTCTCACATACTATCAGCTTCATTAATCATATTTACCTGAAAAGCAGACCATTTTTATTTTTAATACCACTACTTGCAAAATGCAAACTTAAATTAAAAAAAAAACCTTTAGGAGGTATAATAATAAATGTAATTAAAGGAGTATTGTTACTAACAAAAGCACTTTTTTTTCCAGGCTCCTCCACAATCTTGAAAAAGAGATGGTGCTTTAAGGATTAAAGTAAATCCTAAAGCAACAATATCTTTATTTAAGCTTTCCCAGAAGACAGAAAAAAGACTTGGTTATTTTAAAACAAGGAAGAAAAGCAGTGTGCAAAGTCTCAAGCACTTCTCAATCTTTTTCAAAGCACACAAAACTCTAACAACTACTTCAACATTAGGGTCATTCAACATTAGGATCCTTTTGCATTATTAAAAGAGAATTGTTCTCCGCCAAATCATTTGGAAGTAGCAGCATCTTCAGGCAAGGGAGCCTAAGGGAATCAAGCTGATGAAAGGAGGGTTGTGATTTCATGATACCAGACTAAGTATGTGCATTTTCTATGTGCATTATGGCGAACACACATATGAAATTGTGACAGGGTTTGCCACAGTGCTGCTGACAGTATTCTCACAAATGCAGCAAGACCTTGGAAGCACAATTATCACTGATTCCAGTTCATTTTTATTTTACTTTATTAATTTTTATGCTGCCCATCTGCCTTTAAAGAGAAGCCTAGTCTGAAAAACCTAGTGCTGTTGCCAAGGAAGAAGTAGATGATATTATTAATCTAAAGTGATAATAAAGTAATAAAAATTCAATCCACAACAGCACACTTCGGACTTACTCCCAGAAAACAGGCTCAGACTACACTTTTTAATGTTGTAGGGTTACTTAATTAATAAACCTTCTACTATTACCCATCAGCAAGTATCACTTTAAAAAAAAGTATAGACTCCTTCATTCTAAGCTTTACAATGACTGGGGAGAGATCTGATTAGAGGCAAATTCCAATCTGATGCAATAGGATTGATTCCCTAGAAAGCATATTCTGGCTTACTGCCTTCTCCAATTACTTGTTTTGATTTGGAAGGGATAAGTGATGAATAATGAGCCAAGCTTGGCTCTACTGTGTCAGTGGACTGAGTCACAATGCCTAAGGAGATATCAGAGGCAGGCTGAAGTAGCTGAAGGCCAAAGAGAAGAACCCCAACTGGAGCAAGTCCACACAGGATCTCCTTACTTACAGGCAGTCCTTGCTTAAGAACCCTGTTTGGGACCAGAATTTCTGCTGCTAAGCAATGCAGTTGTTGGGTGAAACATCACATGACCGCACTGCTTAGCAGTTTCAGTAGCCCCGGTTGTGCCTGTTAAGCCAGTACCATGCAACTGTAGAACCTCAGGCTTCTTCTTCCTTGCTGGGCTTGCCTCCACTTCAACTTTCCCATTCACTTCTCTTCTCTATTTCTGCTCTTTAGGCCATCCTGCACTCCACTACCCATGCCAAGATTGCAGGTGTCTTAGAAGCCTTGCAAGATCTCAGAGGGCTACACATGACCTTAGAAAGATGATGTCACACTACCAGCAGTCCCTCATCAGCAACAGGAAGAAGAAGAAGACAGCAAAGTTCAGCTGGGGCAGCAAGAATGGTGGAGCAAAGGGCAGCAAAGGCAGTGAAGCAAATGCTGCAGGGCGGCAGGGGCAGTGATTGCCGGGTGGCAAGGGTGGAGCATGGGTCAGTCAAAGAAATAGGAGAAGAAAGATGGAGTGCATTCCATGATCATAAATGCAGGTGGGAGACTAAGTACCTGAATGTTGACTCTGAAATGGCCAAGTATCATTCATTTAGTGTATAATTCTGAATATGTTAAGAAAATGTTTAACAAGGACTACAAGGACTAACAAGGAATATATTAAGCAAGGACTACCTGTTTTACATACAAAGCAACACAAAGCTAGACTTTTTGCTAAGGTCCAGAAACCAATAAACACGTGCAGTCCAGGTCTTCCATGTATGTCAAGAAACATTGTGAAGGGTATGCAATCTAATCAGCAGATCCTCCAACAAATCACAGGGTTGGGGATGAATTGCAACATGGGTATAATATGGCTTTCAGAGGAATAGGGAATTTCAACTTCTAGAGAACACTTTTATTTCAGAATGTGGTGCTGCAGATTGCTACTGCCATAGTCACACATTATTTTGAACCAGCTTAATGGCCAAGAGGACAAGATCTGTGCTTATGGCTACTTCTCCGTTCCAAATAATGTCCCTATGTTCCCATACAGGGTTTATTTCCCAACCAGGAACGGGAAATAGAAGAGGCTAGGTCCTGAAATGTAAGACGATTGCTGCAAGCATGTGATGAAAGCCTCAACCTTTTTTTAACCTGTTTTTGTTCCTACGCTTTTCCAGCCAGGATGCAAAGACAGCAACTAGGAATTTGGCTTAGTCTGAAATCCAGGTGAGTACAAAATAAAATTATTGATAACATAAACTGGATATCTCACTTGGCATTAAGAGATGATAATTAAAAATGAATCATCAAGCTGATTTCAAATTATACAATCAAGGTACCAAAGCATCATATCGCAAAGGCCTGCAATTCTTACCAATCAATTTAATGAAAGGATTTCTCTTTTTAGCTTCTTTCATCAGCCACCATTCATAGCCACGTAAATAATTTTCATCATTTTCATAATGCATGTGGGAGGGTTCCGTGCCATCTGGGAATGGAAAATAAAAATCATCTTTGTATTTCATTAATGCAAGACCTTCAACTATTTTTACTCCAGCGTATTTCCCAATAACTCATGAAAGTACATCTTTGTAATGAAACTGAATATGAAAACATTATTCCATTTTAGCCCACAAGATAATGTCAAGGGCAGAAGCACTAATACAGGTATCTGTCTACATCACATTCACCTTTATAACCTTCATTTTAAAAACATAATTGCATGACTATCTAGCAATAACAGATTACAAAGCTTTTGCTCAGTAGAAAGCTATTATGTGCCAAGAACAGTCACTCCTATATTTTAGACATACGTTTCAAAATGAAACTTTAAAAATGGAACAACTGTAAGCATGATACCAAATTTCAGAATGGATTTAGAGTTTTCTTAGGTAAACAATCACCACTATGGGCAGTTATACATCCTGATGGGCAACCATCAGGATGTTTAAGTAGTTCTTCAATTATCTACATTGGCAAATATAAAGTCTTTTTAATAAATTGCTTTACCACATCCTAAACTTGTTTTTCCACTTTCTAAGTGCCTGAAATAAACTTGTAATATAGGAAGCAACTTCACAATTCTAATAGGTGGTATCAGATTTACTTGCTTTTTTAACAGAGATAGTGGCCTTATTTTGTTCAATTAGTGAAGTTAATACACTCTTATATGGAGGGTGCAAAACTTAAGTGAGCAGGTTTGCAAGTTTCACTTAGAATTAAGAACCTATCAATACATTATCCAATATTAACCTAGCACATATTGGGCTATTACAGGATTTACATGCATGCCTTCTAGAATATATGCAAGAAAGGAATGCGGGAGAGGGTTATAAATAAACCATTCATTTGCATAACAACAAATATCAGCACTATTACCCCAAGGGATCCCATTTACAGATGCTATAAATCTTTCCTGCAAAACTCAAATTCAAATACCTGTAGACTGTGCATCTCCACCAATCTCTACTTTGAGGATCTGTAAGGAGGCACCAAAATTTGGCTTGAAACAAGAGAATGAGAAAGAAGTGTTAATGTTTCTGTTTGGTAAACAACATTCCACTGTTATCACATCTGTTTTAATAAGTTTTCTCCTAATTAACTTGAACTCATGATTCTAAAAAGAATAATCACACAATTTTCCCACACACACATACTCACACTCATTACATTGGCTTTCCTTCCTTCCTCCCTCCCTCCCTCTCTCCCTTCTTTCTTTTTCATCAGAGTCAACTTTCTTAAAACATTTCATTCGTTTTTAGTTTCAGATGGTTCAGCCAGGCATATCAACCCATTAAGTAGGATTCACACATCATTCCAGTGAATGAATTCACATGGAATGCTAAGATCTAACTATGACTTACATATCCCAATACCCAAGTCCATATTTCAACTGCAAACTCGATAAGACTATTACATGGAAGCAAAGAGTTAGCATTTATAATTTTGCTGTCTTCTAAGATATTGCCTGGATTTCTGTAGCTCACGACTATGGTATGTCAATATTCTATGGTTTAGAACAGTTACATGCCACGGTATTTTGGTGAACACACCAGTGTTTACCAACATTCAACATCAACTGTTCTCAAAAGCATGCCCCATCCTTTTGCAAAAGTCAAAGACTTTCTGAAAACCCTACAGTCTGAAGACTGAAGAGGTCACACAAGAATGGGTGTGCTCTCCTGTGCTCTCTAGAAGTTGTGCCAGAGAGTCATACTCTTCCACCTCCTCCAGACCCTCAACTTTGAGTGACTGACAGCAGTAGAACCAGGACTGAAGACAAGGTCTGTGGATTTATTTCAGTTTTAGCATTGGCACTGTTGCTGAATGCCGCTGTTTAGAGTGGGTTAGATGGGAGGAAGATAGAGAAATGTTTATTTTGTGTGTGTGTGTGAGAGAGAGAGAGAGAGACAGAGAGAGAGACAGAGAGACAGAGAGAGGCAGAGAGAGACAGAGACAGGGAGAGAGAGAGAGACAGAGACAGAGAGAGAGAGAGAGAGAGAGGGAGAAACAGACAGACAGACAGACAGAAATACATGCCAGCAAAGTAGAGATAGGCATTTTCAAAAATTTTGATATGCCAAGCCAAAAGGTTTTCTATCACTGGTTTAAGTACAATCTGAATCCAATCTCTGCTTCTATTCACATTTTCTTTCTGGATTACCTCAGAAAATTAAACAGACTACATTTGATTTTTCCATAGTTAGTCCCTGCTTAATGACAGTCAAGTGATTGGGACTGGAATTCTGATTGCTAACCAATGTGGTTGTAATGCACAACATAATGTGACCATGTGGCTTAGCAATGGGGGTCCCTGATGTCGTTAGGTAAGAATTGTGGGTCATTAAGCCCACGAGATGGCAGGCAGGTAGGTAGCTACTGCTGGGTACAGGAAGATACATTTTATTTTTATTTTATTTGTTTATTTATTTATTTATCTAATTTATATAGCCATCTCACCAAAAGTGACTCTGGGTGGCACACAACAATGAGATAAAACAACTATAATAATTTTAGATTAATATCATAAAAAACAAAGGTAGCAATAGCAATAGCAGTTAGATTTATATACCTCTTCATAGGGCTTTCAGCCCTCTCTAAGCGGTTTACAGAGTCAGCATATCGCCCCCACAGTCTGGGTTCTCATTTCACCTACCTTGGAAGGATGGAAGGCTGAGTCAACCTTGAGCCGGTGAGATTAGAACCGCTGAACTGCAGATAACAGTCAGCTGAAGTGGCCTGCAGTACTGCACCCTAACCACTGCACCACCTCGGCTCTTCTTACACAACCATAGACAATGAATGGAATGAAAATGGCAACCACAACAAAAGAGCCTCTTAGCAAGTCTCCAGTACCCTCTGGGAGCTCCAGGCATCCTAACATAACTAGATCTTGACCTTAACAAAAGGATGGAGCTAAACTAGTTTCCGGGGGGAAAGATATTCCATAAAACAGGCACCACAGCAGAGATGGATGTCTCCTGGGTCCTGCTAAACATAGCCAATGAGACCCGCAACATGCCCTCTCTACCAAATCCAATGGGGCGGTCTGAGGAGAAAGTACTGAATCATGTGGGACCTCATGGGGCCAAGGGCAGAATCTCTCCTCTCCAATCATCATGAACTGGAATTAATCTGAAAGGAAGGGTTAAAGTTGCATGGGTGCCCATAGCACCATATGAGTAATTTGGGGCGTGTGGGGGGGGGGTTCTGATGAGTGGGAGAGATTTAACTTTACATGTGGGAAGCCAGCAAGAAAGATTGCAAATGCTGTTCACTTGACACTGAGGGCCATTGTAACTGCCATTAAGTGTGAGTCAGTTGCCAAGTGCCCAGATCACAATCATGTAACCACATGGGTGATATGTTGATTTTGAAGACCAGTCATACCACTTGTTCAGAACCACTGTAATTTCAAACAGTCACCGAACTGTGGTCGGTAAGCGAGGACTATGTGTAAATAATCCAATACTATTGGAGAAAAACAAGCAGTAGCTCTAAAGCAACTTCCAAGAAAAAAACCATAAGATTAAGAAAAAAGACAGCCAATATACATAAAGGGGACAAACAAGGAAACCGATATAAATTATGTACTTGCATTATTTAATGTAAAGATACAAGAATGTAAATTTGCATAATTTCTGAGACTTAAACATAGTTTTATAAGCAGATTTATAAGCAAATTCTTATCCTTCTCATTCATTATTGGGTCTCTGAATCATTTTGATGGTTAAGATTCTGGGCTACAAGACTGATTGATATCCCCCCTCCCTCTACACACACATACACACTGTATATGCATGTGTGCGCACACACATACTTACATTCAGCCATAATTACAACTTACATCTTTGCACTAATTCCAAAAGCCATAGTAACAGAGTGAATAAGTAGCAGAAAGGTAGCTGCAATTATATTCCATATATCAATCAAGAAGAGAAATGAATATCATGGTGAAATACTGAATGCACAGGAAAGAACCTGAACACATGAAACTTTTTTTCATTTTTCCACCACCCTCGTTTACATCACAGCCTTTTTTGTTAATAAGTTTAAGGAAAACAATGAAAGTTCCACCTTAAGTCAATACAATAAGGCAATAATTACCTTAAAAAGATAATCTAAAATCTGAGATCGATAAGGCTCTGGGTAATTCGCTAAAAGGCGTGAGGTAGCCTAAAAAAAAATTAGGAAGAAAAATGTTTAGAATTAATACTTATACATAATGATACTACTGATCAGAAGTATCAGATAATCATTTTTCATGCCCATTTTCCCATGGTTCTTTCATTATTTCTATTGTCTTCCTAAAAACTTCTCCTAGCCTCTACATGTCCTCTGCAAATACTGAATTTAAAAGATAGCAGTAGCTAACCAACCGTGGATGATCTCAAAATACTACATAGGATCAAACATAATGATCAACAGAAAATCCCAGATCTGTAAATTTGACAGGGAATTTGGGGGGGGGGGGTAGCCAAAGAAGGCAGTAAAAATTTCTTCCGATTTCTTGTCAAAGAAAACCAACAGGATTTGTCCAAGAAATAAGAAATAATTAGAAGTGAGGTTTCAACTTGAGTGTGCCTTTATTTTACCGAATAAAATCTTATTTTTACCCCACTTGTCTTATCAGTTTCCATTATCTTCCTATACTCTACTGCTCACAATGAAATATATCCATGCGTGTCCATTCTTGACACCAATCACTTCTTTCTCCTGCCTTCAAGTTCTTATTTGTAAACACCATTTTTCTCTATGTAGTTATTTTAGAAAACCAGTGTACAAAGTTTCATCCATTGAAATCCAAATGGTAAAAATTCAAGTCCAGCTTCTAAACAAAAATATACATTTGTTTGTTCATTTCTCTCTCTCTCTTCTGCCGTCACTGAACAAAACTGGAGAATATATCTTACTTTTAAGTACATTGTTCAACATACTTGCCCAATTATGTTTGTTTCTTTATACCCCCTACCTGATGAAATGGCTTCTCAATTTGGTACAATAAAATTTGGCTGTTAGGTATCATAAGTTCTGTAAGGAAATTCATTAGAAAAATAAAATATAAACATGCCATGCAAGTTACAGCAACTTTCCCTGGAAGCTACTTATTATTATCTATGTACAGTATTGTATGCATCTAATACATGAACAACAAATCGAGTTAATATGTAGATATAATATACGAGCTAAATTAAATAATAACCACGCTCAGATCCCCTTAGAGACATTTCCTGTAAAAAGAATCTGATCAAACTTGACAGCTCAGCTCTTTATTTTTTTTAACCGGAAACGCCTCTGAGTGCAGAACGTGTTTTCTATTTGCCTTAGGCGTGTTTACTACAGTACTTCATCCCCAAGATAACCAGAGGACACGGGACTACGGGGCGATCTTGGTGCTCCCACTAGGAAGCGACCCGAGCTCCGGGTTCTCAGATTCGCAGGTTCTTTTCTGGGACGATTTCCGTCAGGCTGTGAAAAGCCCCTCTCCGATTCCGTGCAACCACCACCCGCAGATTGTCCGACCCGCTCCCAGCCCGCAAGGGGTCTCAGTTTACCCACCCCGCCGCCGCTAACGGCTCCGATGCCATCGAACTGCCGCCCCATCCCGACGGCATCATCCAGCCAGTAATCGTCGCTCTGCCAAGCAGCCGCTCTGCAGCCCAGCAGCCAGAGCAAAGACCAAAGCCGCATCCTTGGAAGGTCGAAGGAACCGCCGCGCTCAGGAAGTCCAGGGACAACCAACCGACCGCATCCTTGCTCTCGAGGTTAATCTGCTGTAGGCGGCTACAGCCGCACTCCTGATCTCAAGCACGGTCATGTGACACGCGATCACTTGACCATGCGGCGCGGAAAGAAAAGGGAGCGAAGTCTTTGAGGGGCGGGGCGGCTCTGTTTGCCACCACCCTTGGCGATGACGTAGCCTCGAGGTCACGTGCGGGGACTGTCAAACTTTAAACCTTGTATTAAGGAAGAAGGTTTGCGTAGCCTTGCGATTTTTAGCCACTGCATACACCAACGGCACTGTAACGCCCCTGAGGAATTGAAAGATTAATGTACCTTGCGGTGGGAAAAGCGTGACTTCTGGAATTTCATTTATTCATTTATTCATTTAGTTTGTCAAACATGTACGAGATAACAGGTATAAGTATGAATACCTGTTTGTTTGTTTATTTATGGACATGAACACAGGAAACGGGTAGAATAAATGGGGACAGTAGGACAGGGATGATAGGCACCCTGGTGCGCTTATGCACGCCCCCTTTACGGATCTCTTAGGAAAGGAGTGAGGTCGGCGACTCGGCGGTAGACAGTTTAAGGTTAAAGTTACAGGGGTTTGAGATCGTAACGAGTGCATTCCAGGCATTGACCACTCTGTTGCTGAAGTCATATTTTCTGCAATCGAGTTTTGAGCGGTTACCTTGGGTTTATATCTATTGCTTGCCCGTGTATTATTGCGGTTAAAGCTGGAGTAGTCGTTGACAGGTAGGACGTAGCAGACAATTTTGTGTACTATGCTCGTCCAAGCCCAAAATGTCAAGCCTGGTGGCATAAGGTATTCTATTGGGAGTGGAGGAGTGGAGTGAAGTACACTTCTCGTGAAATACCTCTGGATCGCTCGATTGTATTAATGTCGGATGTACAGTGTAGATTCCAGGCAGAAGAGCTGTGTTCGAGAATTGGTCTGGCAAAAAGTTTTGTATTCAAAAGTTTTGTATAAAAATTTTCTATTTTGAATTGGTTACACCGCTCTAATCACTGGAGGATTTTATTTCCTTGGGTGGAACAACGTACAGTGGGGAGTCGGTTCTCTGTGTGTTTGTTCTTTCCTTCACACTTTGGACAATTCTTTGCCCTCTTTCTCTCCCTCTTCCTCCCTCACTCCTTCCCCCTCTCCACCAAATGTAGTCCTATTCCATGCTGTTTGAGAAGGGTTATGCTGCTCATGGACAGTCTTCAACCCTGTGTTTTTTCCCCACATTTGTACTAGAACAAATCCACAAAAATGTTATTTTTCATATGGGAAACAGTAGTATGAAACTTTAATGAAAGGTCCATCCCATCTGCTCAGTCTTTTTATTGAAAGTTAATTCTTTTTGAGAAGCGGATGATTTTGGATATTTTAAGGTAAACAATGTTAGACCAGTTTATCCACCTATGGTGTATGGTTTTTTTTTTTAATGCAGATGTGTAATCATCAGCACAGGTGTGTACAATTCATCAAGTCGTGTTGGCGAGATGGGTGGCATTGAACTTTAATAATAAATAAAGTAAACATATCGTGTCAGTAACTCATACAATAATTTCAGAAAACTGGTTGCCTTGAACACATCACCAAAGGGAAAAAAGATTTTGAAATATCAGGTATTGAAGTATTATAAGATAACCAATCAATAAGCACTTACAGGAATCTTAATTCAGATATTCATTAAAATGCATTTTAAGTGTGTAGTGCCTAACTAAATTAGTGTATTATGAATGCATTTTTTTCTTTCAGTGTGCAGGAATAGTCTGGATTCTTTTAGGATGATGTGTTGTGACTTTAATGTTTTGCTTAGGGTCAGGAACCTTTTCAGGATGTACAATAGATGCTTACTATGGTCTCCACTTTGATCAATTCCCACTAATTATTAGCTTCTGTAGTTCTGTTTCTAAACCCTCTTTAATCCCAAACTCTAAATTATTTCCTTTCTAAATTTGACAGACCTCTATTTTACTATAATAGAAGTACTTTACTCAGATTGATGCACATACTTAGATCTCATTATCATGTTTTCAGCTTCATGGTGCTGAGTCACCAACCATTTTGAGTTAGTTTGCCTTGCACAGCTCCGAAGATCTCAGAGCAATGATAACTTTAAGCTTATCCTGAGCAAGACACAGTACAAATCACAGAAGTTTAACATTTGATTCTGTTTGATGATTGGGATCATCCTGTGATAAATGACCCATTATCTGGCTATGGTTATGTAGTGGTTACAACTCATCGCTGTAGAAGCCCTGGACCTATTAGAATAGTCTTCCCAAAAGGTCTATTAATCAAATTGGACTTCAAGAAGACTTGTGCAGGTTGGTGGTGGTTAATCCCACTAATAATCTGTTGATGCCCTGAAATAGAAGACTTGGTAAGGCTATTCACATAATCACTTCTAATTTCGGTTATGGTTCACCAATGACTCCTTGAGGTACAAACTCTGGGAGCTGAAAAAGCAAGTTAGGTGGCTAAAGAGCAGGTGGTAGATTATTCAGGAAGTAAGTGTAAAATCCACTTGAGAACACACATTGGGGTGATACATACAGCAGAGAAATAATATATACTACATTGTCAAGTTCAGTGCTTGCTGGGATCTTCAGGTTGTCCTTCTTTTCAATCTCCAACACTTAATCATAGAATCTTTAGAGGTTTGAGGTTTTGTTGGATTTTTGCTTTGTTGTTTGTGGGTTTGGTTTAGTTTGTTTTCTTGCTGATTAAATCTCAAGGTTATTCGGGCTTGCATAAATGCCAGAATTAATGCAGAGTCAATTATGTTCTGTATGTGTCTAATAATGACTCCTGTATGATTAGAATACATACATTTTCCATGTGTAATATCTATAAATGTGCACAAACCAGTTATTCTCTTAATTCTTGGTCTGTAATTTCTAGCCAAGGGTTATTAAAAATGTTATGGTCTGTATCAACAGTACTACACTCTGGAACGTGAAATCCGTCATTACTTGAAAGAGATAAGAATTTTAAAATGCATCCTGATGAGTTATATTTAGGGAATGACAGAACAAAAATAGAAGAAATCCCAGAAAAGGGTGGAAAAGAACAGTTCTGTAAGAAGAAAACATTGATGTATACAGTACAAATAACGTCAGTAATTGTATTAGTATACAGCAGAAACATTCAAATAATAATAATAATAATAATAATAATAATAATAATAATAATAATAATATAGTATTAATAGTAATACAAGTAATTCTCACTTAATAACTGCCCTGTTTAGCGACCATTCAAAATGAAAAAGTAACTTATGACTGGTCCTCACACTTACAATAGTTATAGCATCCCTATAGTCACAGGATGAAAATTTATGTGCTTTACAACCAACAAGTGTTTACAACCATCACAGCATCTTGTATTCACAGTCTATGAAGAATCTCAGTCATCCAGGTCATGGTTGTCCCATAGATCAACCATGACCATAGGCCATTTTTCAGGAGGCAACTGGGCTTTCTTGTTTTTCTTTGAAGATGTTTCGCTTCTCATCCAAGAAGTTTCTTCAGCTCTGTCTGGATGGTGGGAAATAGAAGGATTTGTCCCATGTCCCTTCACTATTGAAAACAGGCACAGGCTATTGGAGATGAGTCTGTGTTGTCTGCATCTCAAACTGAAGCGCAAATGGTTCCTGCAGTCTGCAATTTTTCTGGAAATCCATTCATACTCCTGCACCAGTGGTGGGTTTCAAAAATTTTTGGAACCTCTTCTGTAGGTGTGGCCTGCTTTCCGGGTCCACTGGTGGAACCTCTTCTATAGGTGTGGCCTGCTTTCCGGGTCCACTGGTGGAACCTCTTCTAACC